AAAAGTAAACGTTAAGTATGTTTTTGAAACAAATGAAAGTTTAGGTATTAAAATAAAATAAAACTAATAATTTAAGTATTAAATATATAATTTACCCTAAGAATAATAATGAAGCTATTGAAATTTGCGTTCACTGATGTCCTCATTAAAACTCTTAAAGATCCATGGGGTGTGTGTATATATACATATATTTTTTATTTGGTTGATTTGATGTAGTTATGATGTACGACAGTCCTAATATATAGTTAAGAAAAAGTTTTATCATAAATGTTAATATTTTCTGTAAAGTGTTCTAAAAAACATTAATTTTTTACCGGAAATGTTAATTTCACTAATTAATTTCCGGTATAACTCAATATTAATATTTTCGGTAGAAAAATAATGTTTTAGGTAACGTTTTATGGAAAATGTTAAACATTTCAAGTAGCGCCCAAGATTAATATTTTTGATAAAAAAATAATATTTTAGGTAATGTTTTATTAAAAATATTAAAAAAAATATTAATATTTTCAGTACCGTCTTTCCTTAATCTTATATTAAAACTGTCATACTTGATATATCCCCTTGATTCGATTTATATTTTATTGATAAGATTTTTATCATAATAATGGTTTAATTTGAATTATTATTTTATTTGTTAGATAAAGTGCATGCATTTATCTAAAAAGCAGCAAACAGCTGCAATCAATGTACACCAAACAACAAAAAATCTACTCAGCCAATAAACTATACCATCTCCCAATCCTCACGAAGCTTAATTTTAACCCAGCTATTCCTATTCACCTATAGGGGCAAGTGCATCCTTTATTTTGGAAAAATAATTACTTTTAATTTAATGTGTTAAGGAAAAAGGGAAAAAATAAAAAAAATATATATATATCCATTATTTTTTAAAAATTAGAATTAAAATTTTAAATTTCATTCTTAAATTTTTAGATTTCACATAATCAATTTGTACCTAATAGCCTATCCAACGTCATTCAACTACCCGGACCCTAAACCTGTTTCCCCCTAAACACCTTGAAAATTTTCTCCCTCCAAATAACATGGATGAAGGAATTCTAAGCAAGCTTCGTGATCATGGTGAGCAGGGACTTACCCCCTCAACACCCGAACATCCCAACAGAGCTCAACATGCCAATCAAACACATCCCTCCGAAGCCCACACAATCTCCAGACATCAAGCCATAGAGAAAGCACAATAAAAAATTATGTGATCTCTAGATTCAAGCTCCCCCACAAAGCACACATTCCTCCTCCACCTGCATCCTAAACGCACATAATTTGTCCTACAGCGATACTCCAACAGTACTCGCAATGTAACTCAATCCATTCCTCGTGGAAAGCTCAAACGGGACCCCTCAAATGAATCCATACCGGTACGAAGCCATGTTAAACTCCAAATTCTAGATGTTAGGCTCCCACTTCCTGATAATCACCGGTTGATTACGAAAGTGCTCCCAATTCACCATACTACTCGAAGAAAATCGAAACAAGAAAGTGGCCTTCCCCACAATTTTAACCTTAATCGCACATTTCTTACCCCGAAGACTCATAGCTAAACTCTTAAAAGTGTTGAAGTGGGGAGGCATACCTAAAAATTGCACCAACACAGAATTCTGCCAACAGCTGACGCCTTCCTCAAAAACAGCTACCGAAGGAATCACATGAACCCCACTCCGACTCCTGGGGCGAAAAGAATTGGAGAAAATGCTCCTCCTTTGAAGCAAACAACCGCTTACAATCCATCATCAAATCCTTCGATCCTCTTGTTCCATCCACCAGAGCCATAACCCAAGACATTTTAGTTCTTCTAAAATGCACCCAGAGCATTTCTTAACATGCGCCATTTATATTGAATTAAATTTATGAATTATTATTTTATTGATAATAAGTTGTTTTTATTTAAATTTAATTATATATTATTTTAATATAAATGTTGATTTTTAATATTTTTATAAAATAAATTGGCTTCCCAACCATCCCAAATTCATACGTGTTTTTGTGAGAAATATAAAAATTAGTTTTTTCAAAGGTACGAATAAATAATAATAATTTAAAAATGTTCTTTAGATTAAAACTATGGTTTTCAGAACCGGACCGGTTAGCGAATCGGTCATGTTACCGGTTCACTGGTTCAACCGGTCGAACCGGTCTGACCGGTCGGAAGAACCGGACGACGTCATAATTATTTAAAAAATTAAATAAAAATACCAAAAATATTTAATAAAAAATAATTTTTTATATCACAAGTCATATTCAAAACAAGTCATAACATATATAAGTTAAAAACCATAAAATCAAGTGAAACAAAATGATTCAAATTAACTACAACATAATATTTAAGGTAAAACATATTAAATAATAAATATAATTATATAACTATAATTAAAAATAAATTTGGGATTAAAAAATCATAACAAAATGATATTGTTTGGTTTATTTTTTTTTTAAAAACAATCCCACATGGCTAAGAAACATAGAAGAGCATCCCAAAAGTCTAAAGAGTAAAAATATGAGAACAAAACAATCTCACATTGCTAAGAAACATAGTAGCGCATCACAACTAACTTCTATAAATAATAGAGGTAATTTGGCATTCAAAATCATAGAGCCTTTTGGTAAGCATTGAGTGAACTATTCTTTCACTTCAATTAAGCTCGAATTTTAGGCTTCAATCGAGCTTCTAATTTTTTTTTGAGTTCAAGCCTTTTTGAGTTCAAGTTTTAATATTATATTTCGAGTTTGAGTTGAACTTGATAATTTTTAGCTTGTGAGTTTGAGTTGAGTTGAGCTTAATTTTAAAGTTTTCAAGTTCGAGTCGAGCTCAGCAATACTCGAGTTCGACTTGGCTCGTTTAACAAACGACGTTGTTTGGTTTAATTTTTTAAAAAAAAAAAAACAAAAATCCTGGTTTTTCCTGGTTTTTTCCGATTTTCAGCCGATCCGGTTCGAACGGTTCAGCGGTTCTGGCCGGTTCACTAATAGCGGTTCAACCGGTTTAGATTGAACCGGACTAAGCAACAGTTCCCGGTTGAACCGGTCGGTCCGATCTTGTTTTCAAAACAGAGATTAAAACAAGTTAGCGAACAATATTTGAGTTTGGGAATAAAACCTATTAGAAGTATTTATATTATATCTAAATGTTTATTTTAATCTCTCTCTTGTAAAAAGAAATATTCTAATCTATGTACTATACCTAAAAGTTTATTTTAACCATATACATTTAAAAAGTTAATATTTTAGTCTAGAATGTTAAAATTTTCTAAGAATTTTAGATTTGGAGTGAGAGTAAGGACTAAATTAAAATCTTGATAAAAAAATTCATAAAAAATATTTAAATTTTCATTAATTTTTAAATATTATGAAAAGTATTATAAAATTATATCAAATCTTAAGTTTTTTATTTAAAAATAATAATCTAGTCATAGTTGGACGCAATATGTAATGTCAAAAAATGTCAACATCATCGTAAATCATTCTTTTACACACTTTCAAAATATACATCGATTAAATTACTCTTCTTTTTTCTAGAGCGATCAATTTGTTTAATTTTAAAATTTACATGAACTTAGTGTTTAAATCAAAATATTTAACGTAACTAACTACAACTTTAATTTTTTAGACCAAATATTCACTTTTCAAACATAGAAGAGCTAAATTGTCCCTTCTTATAATAGAACCAAAAAAATAACTATTAGGTATAATAAAGGGAGTGAATGTTATTGATATGATTTCGGTTGTGGTGATTATCGAATCATATGTTGTTGCCCGATCGTGATTATAGTAAGCAGCTGAGTTTGTAACTCAAACGCGGAATTGTTACTTAAATATACGTTATTGGAAAGGGGAAATTAAAGGTATGGTTGTGGAATGGATTATGATATGATAAAAATTGGGATATGGTTAAGTATGGATAGATGTAGTTGGCGTGTGGGTGTTTAGGATTGAAAGATGATAGACTGTGACCCACTAGTAATAGGGCCACTAGGGAACTCCTTCAGGTCCTTTCCGATGGGAATCACATCAATTTTTTTTTTTTACAATAGAATGATTAAAATGAGCTTTTAAATATGGTACAATAACTTCTAATATATCTTTAATTGAGTTTAAACATGGCTTTAAAAAAATAAAGTTAAATACAACTCGACCATGTATAACCCAATAGATGTGCCCTCCACTTTATATCAAAGCGGTACATAGATGGAGAAAAGCAAAACTCTGTCTCACCAGATTCCTAGAAGAAAATGAGCCAACAAACCAATCAAAATATCTCTCGAATTTGGTAATAACGTTAAAATTACCCAACAACAAAGAAAAATATCTTGAAAAAGCCTCTTTAAAGTACAACAAAGATATTAAGTTCGGTAAATACATTGAAGAATACATGAAAATGTTAGCATCAAATCCATGTGTTTCCACCTTCAAATATTGGTCCAAGGAAAGAAGCTTGTAAACATTACTTGTTTCATCCTTATGATGGCTGCCGAAACCTAAATACACTTAAACTCTATTAAAGCTACGTGTAATTATGTTCATTAATCTTGTATATACAAAGAATTGAACTAAAATATATATTTATTACTTCATATAAAAAGAAGTGTTACTTAATCTTATATTCGAAGCCCGGTATTAAAAGGTAATTACATGAACTAATAAAATAAGAGTTCGAATTTATAATTTTATATGAATTTGAGTAGCTTTGGAAGAGCTTATTAATTATAAGCAAAATTGGATGAGACGAATCACGTTTTTAGGTCAAAGATAAAGAGAATGTGATGTTGGTGCATCGGGCAATGACTTTTAACATCAGTTTAAGGGGCCACGCTGTATAAATTAGGTTAAATAACGATAAAATAAGCTAAAGCTTAGCTGTTCTTTTTCTGTTTAAAGCAAGTCCCTGTTTAAGAAAAGCTTTTAACATCATTTTAGGGTTTGCCTTAGCTTAATGGCAATAGCTTTGTTTTGTATATATACATAAAACACTAAACTCTAATGAGTTGTTAAGGCAGTTTGGATAATCATTTCACAACGACGGTTCTAGGGTTTACTATTGAGAAATTAAATTTAAAAAAAACAATTAAAAGGAATAAAGATAACATTCTCAAGTATAAATATGTCCTTTAGGGTTAGGGTTGGCCTTGACACGAGACTAAAAGCTTTGCCTCTCTTAGTAGTGTATTGTTGAATTTCTCTTGATCTTTTTTTTCCTCCTTTTTTTGTTCCATTTTTATTTCTTTTCTTTTACCTACTGATCGAGTTTCGGTTTTACAAGTGTTACAAGGAACGATTCAGAGATCGATCGCCGGAATGAGGAAACGACAAGTGGTTGTTAGAAGGGAGGAACAACCGAGAAGCAGCACCAATTCATCGATGACAATTAGAAGCGTGAGATATGGGGAGTGCCAAAAGAATCATGCCGCTGGTGTCGGAGGTTACGCCGTAGACGGGTGTCGGGAATTCATGGCAAGTGGAGAAGAAGGAACAGCTGCAGCCCTTACTTGTGCTGCTTGTGGCTGCCACAGGAATTTTCATAAAAGGGAAGTTGAAGCCGAGGTAGCTTGTGACTGTTCTTCACCTCCTTCCTCCAATGGAGCCTAAATATATATATATATATATATATATATATATATATAGCTTTATTAAATAAACCACCACTCATGTTTGTATAAAAGGAAGGTTTTATCATTAAATCCCTCTCTATGTTTTCTGTAGTAGCTTTGCTTTAACTGCTTGCTTATATGTTTGTATGTGTTTCTTGAAGGAATGATTTTTTCTTCTTCTTAGCTTGTCTTTCTATGTTATGAAGAGATAAAAAGAATTTGTATTGTGTTGATGATGAAGAAATTAATGTTTCCCCCCCCCCTTTTTGATGATCGATGAATCATGGTTGACTTAGCTTGACAACTTCTTTAAGTTCGCAAATTAGGTTATTGTACATTAAAATGCGATCAAATTCATATCTTATTATATGTTACAATAGTAACGATCGAATTCACTTATCGGATAAACTGATGGCGTTTCTACACCAAACATTTAATAACATTATCTTGTGAAGGTGAAGGAACTATTCACCGGTACGATAATTTAGGTTACTTTGTAATTAAGTTGAAAGGCCCCACATATCTAATCACTAATGGAATATTTACTAATGTGGTCTAATCTGCTGGTGGTTCATGATGTGAAAGTGTGTTGGTGATGTTCTTAAAAGGCAATTAACCACTTGGGTTTGAACAAAAAGGCTGGCCCTTTTGAGTTAAACATCTTTATTAAATTTGTAATATTCCTGATTTTCTTGTCTAACCCACCTTGTTTAAATTATGATTTCATTACTGTTGCTGAATAGTTTTCATAGATCTCAACACCAAAAAGGGGGAAAAAATATCGCTAAAGATGATTCAGAATTTCTAATGAAATTTCATATAAAAATCACCGTCTTCAAAGAAAAATTATTAAAGATGATATGATGTAAGAACTTAGAGTGTGTTTTTTTATTAGTATGGGATGATCAAAAGGTAATATTTGTTCAGAATATTTATTAGCTCTTGAAAAATTAAAAACACATACTTTAAACGTAACATTTCGAACCCAAAACCTCTAGTAAAAATAACATTTTTTACCGCTAAAATTGCTCAAAAGCTTAAAAAATTTAAAGTTTGAATCTCAATGTTTGTAATAAAAGAACATCTTACAAGTATATAATAATAAAAGGTTTAGATGTTTAACATGTGAGGTGAGTTGGCAGATAAATTTCCTTCTTCAAGTTAGGCATCGAGTATACGGAGGGAACAAACCTTCGGGTATACGTAGAATTCAGTCGGGTAGATGTCCATTTTGAAAAATATCCCAATCCATGCATACTTTCATCTTTTTTCGTATATATACACTTAAAAGGCAAATTAGGTTAATCAATTAGTCATCTTTTTCTTTAAGAATGGAAAGTTTTTCCTTCAAGGCCTAGCTTGTATTTTTCTCCATTGTTTTGCTAGTGATTGCCACTAACTTCCACAATTATGAGTTGAACGAGATCTTTTATGCTTCCATAATTGAGAATTGTTTGGAACTTAAAAATGCTGTTATTTGTGGTCTTATAATTGCCACTAATCCCACATCGAGTGAACCCTGAATTGTTTAATTCGTGTGTTTCTCTCTTTATTCCTACACTTCCATAAATTAATTGCCACTAATCCCACATGAGTGAACCCTAAATTGTTCAAGGTTTTATAATTAAGTTAGTGTCAATTAATTTATGGTCGGATGCATGAAGACTAAAATCCGTTCATAGACACTGAGAATTGTAGTGGCATGTACAATAACATCATTTTGGTTTAATTTAATAAACTGTATTGTGTTATAATATGGTCTTAGTTTGCTTGATTATGCAATGGATTGTCATATAGTATTCTTTGTTTGATGGTTGTCACGTTGAGCTTGAGCTCGATGCTAATGTCATGTTTTGTTATGTTATGTTCATGCAATGACATATCATGTAGGTTTCTTTAAGCGCGTTTTAAGTGTAAAAACTTGATAGAGTAAACTAGAACGCATCTTAACAAGGTTTATGAAAATAGAATTTTTGCTTTTTATTTAATAGTCCGATATGATTATAGGATAACATCTTTTTTATATAATGTAAGTATAAGATAATATATATTTAAAGATAAATATTAATAATTTGACATTGAACGTTCATACCACTAACATTTATAATACCCAAACTTGAAATTTCAAAGAATAACATCATTTTTTACTATCAAAATCGCTTAGCTTGTGTTAAAATCCTTCTAAATCGGAGAGGAATGAGTTTGACGTTGAATTCAATGTGATACCTTTGTAAGATTTTATTGTAATAATGCTATATCAATTTTGGGTAGATAAAAAAAAACCCCACCCTGCCGCCATCTCTATCTATTCAATGCCATTCGGGCTAGTTCTGTAATGGTATGTTAGCCCAAATATGAAAGCTCCCATCTAAAATAAGGCCCGTAACAGATAAAACCTATTAAATTAAGTGCATAATCTGATATTTTGAATAGGGGTGTAAATGAGTCGAGATTGAATAAATAAAGTAGTGTCGTGTTTGTTTGTTTGTTTTTTAAGGTATTCATGTTCGTTTAATTTTTAATATTGTATTTGTATTCGTTTATTTATTTTTGAAGGTATTTGTTTTCGTTCATTTAGTGTTCACGAACATGTTCATTTAATGTTTGTGAACATATTCGTTTAGCGTTTATGAACATGTTTGTTTAATGTTAGGCAATCAACACTATCTTTTTATCCTTCTATTTACAAGTCAAAGAAAAATGACGGAATTTCACCAATTGTCCTTAAGTTACTTAGTCTTTGCAATTTGAATTCCAAAGTTCATCTTATATTCAATTAGTCTCTATCTACACAAATATTTAAAATGCAAAAAAAAAAAAAAGAGAGAGAAGGATAACTGAATAAACGAGTCAATAAATGAGTTTGTTCGTAAACATAAATAAATTGAATGCACATTTGTTTGTATTTGTTGATCTATTAAATAAACATAAAAGAATTTGTTCATACTCGTTTATTTATCTTAATAAACTAACGATCTACGAACATTTCATCGAACGATCTGTTTGTTTACACCTTACCTAATCGTTGACCACTTAACTATTTATCCCTTTTACTTTTATCATTGATAATTTAATTTTATCAATCAGATCACCTAACTATTTAATTGTTGTCAATCAAGCAACCTGCCGTTAACAGTTGATGGAAGTGTTGATATGACAGTTAACAAAATTGACGTAACTATACATTTAGTCCTCAATACTTATATATCCTATCAATTTGATACTAATTTTAATTTAATTTAATAAATTTAATCATCTAATCATATTATGATACATGTCAAATTATGAATGGAGGATACTTTTAAATTTACTTATTTTATTTTTCACTCAATCTGACGGTGCCATGTGTCACTATCAGATTAGATAGAAAATTAATGGTGAAAGAGGAAACGATAGCATAAAATGGAGGGAGAAAGAATCAAAATTCATGCCATTTGGGTCCTATAACATCATCCAAACAACTAAGCTAAATCCACTATGAAAATATTACATATTGTAAAAATGACAGAAAAAAATTAAAAATAATTTTAATTTTAATATATTTTTAAAACAATTTCATATATATATATATATATATATAATTCAATTTAAATTTTTTGAAAATTTCATATACTTTTAATAAAAATAAATTGAGTTAAAATGTATAAAATCATTAATAAAAAGTTAATATATATATATATTGTTATTAACTTTATCAAACAATTTATGTTTTTTAAATAATTTTGTGCTATAATATATATATGAAATTATTAACAAAAATTTTAAAATTATTACTTAAGTTAAAAAGATTTAATTTGATTATTATATATTAAAATTATTATTAACTTTATCAAATAATTTTTTAAATTTTTTTTTATATTTTTAATAAAAATAAATGGATATATATATATATATGAAATTATTATAAAAAGTTAAAATTAATATTTAAATTAAAAAAATAATTTAATGATTATATATATAATTGTTGCTAATTTTATCAAAAATAAGTTCATATACTTGTTAATAAATTGTATTGTCATCTTAATATGAATTGTATACAAAACTTTCTCTAAATTTTATATTTATAAATAAAAGGAGTATGCATCATATAAGACTTTAATCTTTAATGGATATTAAAATATTAATTATAAAATACTATTTAATACATAATATTCTAATCATAATAAACATCCACATAAATAATTAGCCATAATATGGAATTTTATCTATTATCTGTCTTATCAATAAGTCATTATATTAATAAATATGTGAAAACTATAATTTATTCAATAATATAAAAAAATAATAAAATTACATTTTTTTAAATAAAAACATTAATTTTTATTAAAATGTACTCAAAATAAAATATTTATAATCATGACAGTAAATTAAATACATAATCAAAAAATAAAAAATAATTATAAATTGATTTAATGAAATAAGAATATAAGATACTATATATTAAATATTATAGTAGAATAAATTAAATTAAGAAATGCTTAAAGACCATGTTAAAAAGTTCTATGAAGAACTATTCACAAAAGATCCTTTAGTGAAGCAATCTCTTGAGAATTCTAGACCCTTTCCTAATCTGAATAAGGAGCAATGGAACTGGTTGGATAAACCTTTTGAGAACATTGAAATTAAGGATGCTCTTTTCAGTATGAATCCTCTAAAAGCTCCAGGTATTGATGGGTTTCATGCTAACTTCTTCCAGAGTAATTGGGACACAGTTGGAGAAAAGGTTTGCCAGCTAGTCAAACACTGTCTCAATGGTGGCCAGATTGAAGAAGCTTTAAACAGAACGTGTTTGGTTTTAATTCCTAAGATTGATAACCCGGATAGAATTACTCAATTTAGACCTATAAGCCTCTGTCAGGTTACCTACAAAATTATAACCAAAGTTATCGTTAACCGCTTAAAACCTATTCTTCCTATTCTAATTTCTAATAGCCAAACAAGCTTTATACCAGGAAGGGTTATTACAGACAACATTATCCTTGCTCAAGAGGTTATCCACTCTATGAAGATAAAGAAAGGTAAGAAGGGGTACCTGGCCATCAAGATCGATCTGGAAAAAGCCTATGATAGATTAGATTGGAACTTTATTAGAGATAGTATTGTGAAGTTGGGCTTACCTAATAGATTTATTATGGCTATTATGAATTGTATTACCTCCACGATGATCCAAATTAATTGGAATGGTGGTCTTACGGAGCCTTTTAAACCATCAAGGGGA